GGGCTGATGCACGGCGATCAGCCCCGCGGATCGTAATGAGTTCCGGACCGTCTTCGAGTCTACGGCGAGACCGTGCTTCTCCAACCACATATTTGCCGCTTCAACAGAGCCTTTCGCCTCGCCGCTTGTAGTCGCGCGTATTATTCCGCGCTGGAGACGGGTAGTGATTAAGCGGGGGCGGCCGGCCGAAGGCATCGTAGGTCGCACCTCCTCGAGACTAGTCTCGGCAGCCACTTTCAAACTGTAATCGTGCACGGTGCTCTTGCCTATTCCAAGAACTTTGCCTATTTTCCTAGTCGAATGCCCCGCACGCAACATGCTTATGATTCGCGCACGCTTCCGCTCAGTTAACGGCTTCATGGCGATGCGGTCGTAGGCTCGCTTCCAAACTAACTCCTAAGCCAGCAACTGTTGCGCGTGACGATGTACACACTGAGTGACGGGGGAAAATAGATCTACTCTTCTGCTCGGTTGGAAATGTCCGCATCGATAGTCGAGGAGTAAATTTCAACCCCACTTTCAGGTTGTGTCACAATCGCGCCAAGCAGGAAATGGTTGAAGCAGAACTCGGAAACCTTGTAACGGAATGGCAAAAAACGGGTGTTACTATTTTCGAAACATGTGTGGCATAGCGATATGTTTCAAAGTGTTAAACATCCGGGCAATTTATTCCGCCACTGTATTCCTGCTGCAGTCACTACACCGTACCGATCACTACCGATAGACTACAAACCAAATACTATACCGTTGAGTCTAACCGATCTACAGACTTATCAACAGCAGTTAGGCTGTTTACTCTTCGCCGCCGTTACTTGCCGTCCCGATCTAGCCTATGCGGCTAGTCAACTCGCTCAGTTCCTACGCCGTCCTGAAGAGGAGCATCAACTCGATCTTCTCAGCGCGCTTTAGTACTTTATATCGACACCTGACGTCGGTTTGGTCTACAATGTCGTCGACTATAAAACACTATACCTATACGGTTTCGTCGACGCCGATCACGCTGCTGACTCTACTAATCGACGATCACGTACTGGATTCATCTACCGCCTTGAACCTGTCGGACCTATTTCTTGGAATTTGACGAAGCAGGAGCTGATTGCTCTCTCCTTTGCTGAAGCTGAATTTATCGCTGTCTGCACAGCAACACGCGAAGGACTTTACCTACAGGAACTATTGGAAGAAGCAAAGTTGGCGACGAGTACTCAGTTTACTCTGCAGTGCGATAACCAAAGTGCAATTCGCATCGCGCACCAGCCTGGTTTCGTCAACAGGACGAAACACATTTCACTGTGTTACTTTTTCGTCAAGGATGAAGTCGAGAAGGGGAGAATGCAATTGGTCTATTATTCGACCAACGAAATGGCTGCCGACTTCCTCACAAAGAAGCTGGCATGACAGAAGTTTCAGTATTGTAACAAGCTTTTGTTGGAGATAGGCTACAATGTTGCACATTTGTGCGTTAGTCATTTGTTTGTTTAGGGTTAGGAATATTTGTTAGGTTGGGTGTAGTTTTTTTTTTATCTCCAACCTATCCCAGCCCAATCCATCCCAAATCCCTACGATTTGGGAGGATTCCCTTGGGATTCCCTCCGATTCCCCTTATCCCTTCCAACCCTCTCCTATGGGTAGTACTTAAGCTTGTATGCTCTCTCTCATTTTAATCAATCAAAGTTCTGTTTCTATCATGGTATCAGAGCTCGTTTCCGCCTAAGCGGCTCTCGATCCTCTCGCTCCGTTGGAGCTTAGCATTTGCGTCTTACGACGCAAAGCTTCTCTAGCCGCCTCAATCTGCGCGGCGCTTCTCTTCGGGCTGACGCTCGTCGCCCCGCATCTGCGCGGCGCTTCTCCTCGGGCTGACGCCCGTCGCCCCGCATCTACGCGGCGCTTCTCTTCGCCCTGACGCCCGTCGCCCCGCTTCTGCGCGGCGCATCTCCTCGGGCTGACGCCCGTCACCCCGCATCTGCGCGGCGCTTCTCTTTGGGCTGACGCCCGTCGCCCCGCATCTGCGCGGCGCTTCTCCTCGGGCTGACGCCTGTCGCCCCTCATTTGCGCGGCGCTTCTCCTCGGGCTGACGCCCGTCGCCCCGCATCTGCACAGCACCTTATGTCGGGCTGCCGCCCGTCGCCCCACATCTGCACAGCACCTTACGTCGGGCTGCCGCCCGTCGCCCCGCATCTGCTCATCGCACCTGTCTCGGGCCGTCGCCCTGCATCTGCGCGTCGAAGCTGAACGGGCTGCCGCCCATCGCCCTTGCAACGGCAGGAGGTCTCAGCGGCGTAGCAGTACGGGAGCAGCAGCAGGGGCAGCAGCGGGTGCAGCGGCATAGCAGTATAGAAGCAACTGTTTTGATCACTATTTCGTGATTTTCCGGACGGCTCGTTTCCTATTGAGTCCCGACAAATCGACACTCCAAGCATTGAAAATCCGCTTCGGAAAAGCGTCATTTTCGTGGAGCCCGCGCTGCGCTGAGCCGAAGTTCCTATCGGCGACTTAAGAGCTGCGCTCCGCGCAGGAGAAAGGGGCCCTTTACATCATGGCCTTCCCCTCCGTGTCCCTTGGTACCCCAATCACTCCGTTGCGCCTTGACCCCAACGGCACAAGCCCCAATTTCAAGGAATGGAGCTACGGCATCGACAAGCACCTTCTGAGCCGCAAGGTCGAAGGCATCTGTCTTAAGCATGTCCTACTCAACCGCGGCAAAGGGAAGATGCCCACTCCACCCAAGGAACTCCAGGCGAATGCCACTGATGAAGAATCCAAGGCGCACGAAGATCTGACAACCAAGTACGAGGAAACTTACAGTGTGTGGGAGCAGGCCGACGCTGCTATCATTGGCGTGTTCGTCAGTATCACTCCTTTCGAGCTAGTTAAAACGTATCATAACTACCCGTCCGCCCATGCCATCTTGGAGTACCTCAATGACCGCTTCCTCAACAAAACTGATATGGGGGTGGCAATCCTCATTCCTCGCATGATTCAAGTGCGCTTGGAGGAATGCCCTGGCATGGCAGACTATGTGGTGGAGATTCAGGGTATTCATCAGGAGTTGAAGCAGCTTGGCATTGTTTTCCCAGAACAAGCCCCTGCCGCAGCTCTCCTCGTTGGGTTGACTCCATCCTACAATGTCACCCGCTCCATGCTCCTCCACCTCCAGCCGGAAGAGCTCACCTTCGCTAAAGTCTCCTCTGCGCTTCTTTCCGCTGAGAAAGACAACACTGCCCACGCTCAAGCAAATGCACTTCGCGCTCCAAGCTCCTCCCCAACTACGCGTCCCAATGCACCTCCAGCTCGTAACCGCTACCCACCTTGCCCCTACGTCATTAAAATGGGCCCTCGCGCAGGGCAGGTCTGCAGTAGCACCAACCATCCACTCGCCACGTGCTTAAAAAAGAAAGACGACGAGTGGTTTGCGAAGAATGACGTCAACTCCAAGCCACCCAATTGGCTCCGCATGCGCCAGGCCAACCAGCTTGAAGTTCAGACTAGTCAGGATGCAACTGTTGACAACTCTAGTCCTGATGTTCATCTCAATCTGTTGTTCCCAGGCGTTGCCATGATCAATGAAACCACTTCGCAGTATTCGGTGCCTGAACGCTCCTCGACACTCGAATTCATCCTTGATAGTGGAGCAACCCACACTGTCCTCAAGGACAAAGAGTCCTTCAAACCATACCAATCACCCATCCCTTTACTTGGTGCCGACTCGAGCTTCACCACCCTAGCCCATGGCTCATCCACACTTCCATGCCCGGTATTCCCTTCCGGCTCTGTCACTGGTATATGCCTTCCCACGCTAAGGCACAATCTCATCGCACAGCACGAAATTCATCGGGCAGGGGTCACCACCATCTTCCCCGCTCACTCCAACCACTGTGATCTCATTGACCCAACCTACAACACGCGTCTCGCATGCTTCACTCTCTCCTCCAACAACCTCTGCACGCTTCAAGTGCCTCCACCGCGCACTGAAGTTCACACAACCTCCACGTGCTCGTGTTGCCACCTCTCCGACCCTACCTTGCTTTTCCACCACCGGCTCGGGCACCCCAATTTCCTGCACCCTCTCAGAGCTTGCCTCCAAGAAACTCCTTCTCCATCTTCCCGACTCTCTTCCCCCACCATCGCCTTCACCAGCACCTCCCTGTCTGGACTGTACACAAAGTAAATTGCGTCAATTACCTCACCCTCCATCACCCTCCGCCGCAGCTGCCCCCCTTGATCTCATCCATATGGATCTCTGGGGTCCGGCGCCTGTTCAATCCTATGGCGGGCATTCATACTTCTTGGTACTCATGGACGATCACTCTCGCTACTCATCCGTCCACCTCCTTTCCTCCAAGGCGGCGGTCCCTGATACCGTCATCGCTTGGGTTCGGCAAGCTCAAACCCACTTTCGCACCTCCGTCAAGTGTCTCCATTTCGACGGCGGTGGTGAGTTCCGCAATCATACCATTCACACATTTTGCGCTTCGCAAGGAATTCGCCAAACCTTCACTCTTCCGCATAGCCCGGAGCAGAATGGCATCGCGGAAAGCCGCAAACGCACTCTTGTGCAAATTGCCCGCTGTCTTCTCACGCACGCTGCCGCTCCACCCTCCCTTTGGGGATACGCTCTCCTTCACGCCACTCTCCTCTACAACCTTCACCCTCATCCCCTTCGCCCCGAGGTCACGCCTGCCGAGCTCTAGACAGGTTCCAAGCCAAGTGCACGCCCGCTCCGCGTCTGGGGGTGCACCGCTTATGTCCTCCTCAATCCTCATGATCGCCGCGCCCATGGCGGCAAGTTCGCTCCCAAGACTCAGACATGCGTCTACCTTGGTCACAACCTCGATTCTCCAGCCTACATTTTCCTCAATCCATCCACTTATCAACTCATTCGTAGCCGAGATGTCGCTTTTGACGAGACTCGCCCATTTTATCTTCACTCGTCTCCCGCCCCTGCTCCACCTTCGCTCATCTGGGCCGATTTCGACACCTAGCTCTCCATCCCCGCTGCCACCACTCCTGATTCATCTACCCTCTCCTCCTCACCCGCTCCGTCTCCTTCCGCTGTTTCCCACCCTCCTTCCCCCGCCACCTCGGGTGCTCCCTCTTCCCCTCCTCCCGCGCTATCACCATTGCCTGCGCCCTCCTCCCCCCCTTCTCCGGCATCCGCACCTGCCGATCCCCCTCCCGCCGCCCCACCCGTCACCTATCAGCGTCGTCGCCAAGGTCGTTCTTATGTTTCCGTCCCACCTACTCCTCTGCCGCCTCCTTCCTCCCCCGTCGCTCATCGTACCCGTTCTCATGGTCCCATCCAGCCTCTTGCTCTCTCCGTCCGCATCTCCCTCAATCCGCCTCCTCCTGCCGGGGGTGCACTCATGCCTGGCCTGCTGGAGGATAGGCATGAGGAGCTGATTGATATCGATGCTGCCATTCGCCAGCTCTGCTATCTCTTCCCTGATCTTGCAGACGCTCCAACCCTCAACTTCTCAGAGAATCCATCCATCCCGACCCTGAACACGTACGATGAAGCCATCCGTGGGCCGCACTCCCCGCAGTGGCTCGCAACCATGATCGCCGAGTGTGACGCATTCATTCGCAACAACTCTTTCACCGACGTCTCTCCTCCTCCAGGAGTGAACATCGTCCGTGGCAAATGGGTGTTTCATGTCAAACAGCTACCTGGCGAACTTCCGGTTTTTAAGGCACGTTACTGTGCTAAAGGCTACACACAGAAGAAGGGGCTGGATTTCTTTGACACCTTCTCCCCAACGGCTAAACTGCCTACCCTTCGCACTCTCCTTAACGTCGCTGCTCGAGGCAACTTCGAGGTCCACTCTATGGATGTCTCAGCGGCATTCCTGCAAGGAGACCTTCCTGAGGATATTTTCATGGAATGGCCTCAAGGTTTCCCCTTACCCTTTCCACCCGGAACAGTCTGGAAGTTGAATCGACCCGTCTACGGGCTGAAGCAAGCTCCTCGCGAATGGCATAAGAAGCTGAAGGCCACCCTAGAGTCACTCGACTTGCATCCTTCTGCCGCCGATCCGAGCCTTTTCATTCGCAAGAACGAGAAGCCGTTCTTCATTCTCGTCTATGTTGACGACATTATCCTCGTCTCTAAGGACTCCGATCAGCTGGCAGCAGTCAAGCAAGCCCTAGGGGACGCGCTCGCGATGAAGGATCTCGGCGAACTCAAGAACTACCTTGGGATGGAAATCATGCGGGATCGTGAAGCCCAAACCATTACTCTCTCCCAAGAGTTCTACGTGAACAACGTCCTCAAGCACTTCGACATGGACGAAGCCAAGTCAGTGGCTACGCCGCTTCCCCTGCAGCACGATCAGACTGCCCCGCCAGTTCCATCACCTGAGCCTTGTGATGCAGCTTATCCCGAGCTTATCGGCTCACTCATGTATGCGATGATGTGCTCAAGGCCCGACTTGGCCTATCCCATCAGCGTGCTCTCACGTTACGTTGCTGCTGGTCGTTACACCAATCGCCACTGGTCAGCTGTTAAGCGTGTCCTTCGCAACCTTCAAGCCACCAAGGACTTTGTCCTCACTCTCGGTGGCACGTCCCCTCCTCACCTCGAGGGGTACAGTGATTCCTTATGGGCTGACGACCAAGCTGACCGACGCTCCTCCCAGGGCTATTGCTTCACCCTTGGTAGTGGTGTCATCAGCTGGCGATCTACACGCTCATCATCTGTCTCTTTGTCGTCCTGCGAAGCAGAGCTGTACGCAGGCACCATGGCAGCCCAAGAAACCCGATGGCTTACCTACCTCATGGCTGAGCTCGGGTATCCTCAGCGGACCCCGACCCCATGGTGTGACAACGAGAGCACTATACACCTTACCAAAGACCCTGTCTTCCACCAACGGACCAAGCATATCGAGCTTCGGCACTTCTTTATGCGCGAGTTGGTCTAGTGTGGGTAGTTGTGGGTGAAGCACATTTCTTCTGACTGCAACCTCGCAGACCTGTTCACCAAGTCTCTTGGACGTCGTGACCACTACCGCCTCCTTCGTGCTATGGGTCTTGGCGTCCCGATGACTTCAGCCGTTGCAGCCTAGGGGGTGTGTTGGAGATAGGCTGCAATGTTGCACATTCTGTCATATTATTACATTTATTAAAACGGTGGGTGTGTCTATTCTTACCAGGCTATACCCTAGTACCATTCGTGGTAGAAAGGAGGACGTTACCACCATAAGGCCCTCCTTTTCAAACTGCAGGTACCCCGAGCCCTCAGGTCAAATCCTTTAAAGCACATGCATCCCTCAGCACACTGATTTTGCAGGGCTTTGTAAGGGGCTCTTAGTACAAATTCTGCAGAGAAGCAATTTTTGACAATCCAACGTATCGAAACAGTTTATGCCGCACGCGGCAGTTTTGACGAAAGGGCTTCGTGAGCCCTGCCACCACGGATCGCCACGTCCGCACACAGTACCCCTCCTCCACCAGCCGCGCCAGCCCCAACGTGCCACTTCAGACCTCGAAATTCCCAAGGCGAGCCAGCTCAGCTTTGATGCTGTCGCCAAACCGAGCCGAACCGAACCCAATCCCAATTCCTGATTTCCTTCCCATTTCAAATTCCCAAGTTTCAGACCCAGACTTGATTTCTCGTGTTTCCTCCCTTGGAACAGGCACCATCACTGCCTCCCATGGCGGCTTCTCTTCTCGCTCCCGTCGCCTCTCACCTCGTAGCATCCTGCCGCCCGCCCAGTCGCACATCCGTCGCAAACGCGGCTGAATGGCGACGACTAGAGTCGAACGCGCGACGTCGCCTCGTCTTCTGCTCCGCGCAACCGCCCGCAAGCAACGGAGAAAGTGACAAGGATGAAAGCGACAATAGCCAAGAACGGCCGTCCGAATCAGAACCCACCGTACCCCCTTCTCCCGCGTCATTCGCGACGTCTTCCGCGGGCCGCGACGCGATAATGGCGGAGCTGGACCGCGCGCTGAACGGCGAGGAGTCGAAGGCGCTCTGGGAGGACCTCGAGTCGGCGGCGCTGCGCGTGTCCCGCGCGCGCGCGTCGTACGAGGAGATGGAGGCGCGCGAGAAGGAGCTGCTCGCGCTCAAGGCGGAGCTGGAAGCCGCCGCGCTCATGGAGGCGGAACTCGCGCAAGCGGACGCGCAGGTGAGCGGAACTGGCGCAAGGGGGAATACGTGGAGGGGGGTGTGGGTGGGGATGGGGTGTGTTGTGCAAGCAGGGGAAGCGGGGGGACCGGAAGCCGCGGCGCTGATGGAGGCGGAACTCGCGCAAGCGGACGCGCAGGTGGGCGGGCTGAAAGGGGATCAGACAGGGGAGGGGCAATGGGTAAACTGCAGGGTATTTTTGAGAATTCTAAAAAATACCCTGCAATTTTTTTGAGAATTCTAAAAAATACCCTGCAGACGCGCAGGTGGGCGGGCTGAATGGGGATCAGACAGGGGAGGGGGAATGGGTAAACCGGGGGAGGGTGGTGGGAGGGGATGGGGGAAGGGGGGAGCGTCCAGAATGTTTTTTATTTTTATTTTTATTTTTTAATTTTAATAATGTTTTTTTTTCAAATTACATGAATTTCGCATGACACTGGAAAGGAATGACAAGACTCTGAAACCGAATACAGCCTGCATGGCAGTCCCCCCCTCCCCCCCCCAACCCCCCCAACCCACCCCCCACACACACTATTCCCTCCCCACACTCCCAACGCCTCGCCCCCTCCTCCCCGTCCCAGCTCCCCCACTCCGCCCTTCTCCACATTCCCTGAAACATCCTCCGCCACCCGCGCTTTCCCCCCATACTGTGCCCTCTCTATCTCCAGCCATCCCCTTGGAGCCGTAAAGCCTCCAAGGCGCAACGGCAGCGGCTATGTCTTGCGTTGCTTTTGAGTCGACTCAAAAGCAGACTCAGAAGCCATCCGCTTGGAGCCGTATAGCCTCCAAGGCGCAATGGCAGCGGCTATGTCTTGCGTTGCCCAACACCCGCGTTTTGTCTTCTCCTCCCTCAAGAACGAAGCTCCAAGCCTTAGTATCCTGAGTCTTACTCGCCACCTCGCCACCCACCCCTCCCCCCTCCCCTCCCACCCCTCCCCCCTCCCCTCCGTGGCCCGTTGCACCCATCAGGTGGAGGAGCTCGAGGCCGAGGCAGCCAGCAGCGGAGCAGGCAGCCATCCCGTCGTTCCCCGTTGCGCCCATCAGGTGGAGGCCAACTCGCCACCACTGCCCCCCGCTTTCCCCCTCCCCCCCCCCCCCCCTTCCTCCCCTCCATGCCCCGTTGCACCCATCAGGTGGAGAAGCTCGAAGCTGAGGTGGCAGCAGCGGAGCAGGCAGCCAGGGCTGCCGGAGCAGCCCTCATCGAGGCTCGGGCGGGCAGCGCCTTCCGAACCACCAGCACAGGCTCGGGAGGGCAAGCAGAAGGGAAATGGGCGGCGAGCACCGGCTCGATCGACGAGGACAAAGAGCGAGAGCAATCAGCCAAGGCTGCTACAGTAGCAGCTGTAGCGGGCACTCTAGCAGGCCTCCCGTTCCTGCTGAGTCAGCGAGCGCAGGAGGAGGGAACGGGGTTAGGGTTTCTGGTGGCAGCAGCGGCACTAGCTGCAACTTGTGCTCTGTTCGGCGTGACCTACCGATACATCGTCCGGAAAGACGTGGGAAACATTCAACTTAAAGCCGGAGCAGTCGGGGCCTTCGGGCTGGCTAGAGGTCTGGCTCAAGTGGACACCACGTTCTCACTCGTTGGTGCTGGTGCTGGGTCCGCAGGAGATGGACTCACAGTGGTTACTGATGGAATTGCGAATGGTGCTTTGGTGCCGGTGGCGCTATCGCTGCTGGAGGCAGGGGAGGGGGTGCTGGTGCTGGCGCTGACTGCCACTGCGCTTGAGTACTGCCTGCAGACCGGGTTCCTCTCCACCTTCCCTGCTGAACCACCATCCTCTTCTGGAGCATCTCCGAAATAAGAGCTCTTCCTCAATGTATAGTTATGATATGTTCGTCTCAGTGCTGTTTGATGCATGTTGGTTATGTATGTCACTAAAGAGAAACTAGCTTCCTAAACTGCCTGGCTTGTGTCTTATCCAATATGTACCATTTTATGGCCATTGGGGTTGCTGTGTGATCCAGTGGTGTGATGGATGCTGTATTGGGCTGAGAAAAAGCCCTTAGGATCTCTTCAGAGACTAAGTCCCAACTGTGGAGACATGTAATTTTTTGAAAGCGTGTAACACTTTCTAAAAAATGTGTATTGTGAAAGTGTAGCGAGGGCCAACGCAGCAAGGTCAGCGTCGAAGCGCTACTCACCCTCTTTTGCCTACAAAAGAGGGACGTGAGGCCATTCGACCTCACCCACGTTCTTCATTTCTAGTTCCAGTTTCGTTTTCCCCACCCACCCACCCTATTGGACGGTGTAGTCTATTGGACGAGAACCATGTACTGTAGCCCATATGAAATGAAGCACGCTGCCTTTGCCAAGGTGACCCAAGCAAGCTTTCACAATGGGGGGCTTGCCTGTAGGTCTGTGTTGTAGGTGAGAGGTGCGACTGTTGCGGTGATGTAGGTTTCGAGCAAATCGCAGCACCACTTCTGACCGCACTGATGTGTACGTGGCGAGAAGGTTACGTCGCAATCACAGTGTTACCGTATTCGCCCGGATAGAAGACCCATGCGTCTTGTCCAATACCCCCTAAGAATTTGGAAATTTGTCTTATAAACGGAAGGAATATGGGGTCATATAATTCTTATAAACGGAACTCATTTAAGTTTACGAAAAAATGCATGTATAATGTCCTAATACTGCCTCACGTCCATATCAAGTTGTGGGCCAACAGGAATGTTGTGACTCGGGTGCAATCATTACTGCATGGTGCGTTTGGGTGAAATTTGCTACTTAAAGCGAGGGTCTCAAGAAGAAGAAAACTGTTGGGCTGAGAAAAGCCCCTAGGATCTTTCCAGAGACTAAGTCCCAGTTGTAGAATGAGACTTGAGTAGTGCAGCGGAAGTTGAGGCAGTTGAACCCTTGTACTGGTATATGAGAACAAGTGATTGACTAAAGAAACAAGCATACAGCAATATATAGAAGATAAGAAAGCAGTTGTAGAATACAGTTACAGGAACGGTTTATCGAGTCGCACAGCGACTCGATTGCCGCTTCGGTTACCATCCGTGATGTTGTAACGGTCAGTCGTAACCTCCAGTTGCGACCTTTCGAGTCTTTTCGCATTCTTTGTCCGCCCCCTCGTGCAACCTCCGTTGACTTGCGTGCTCCCCTGTAATCTTCCTCGAGTACAGTGTTATACTTCAGAAACGCTTAAGTCTTTTGAGATGCTTCCAACACTCCCCTTCGTTTCTGGAGTGCTGGCGTGTTCAGATCCGGTGACGTTTGTTTGCCCGGTCAGGAGCATGCAGTAGTCGAATTTTGCTTTCGCCAATTTCTTCGTCAGATAATCTGCGGCCATTTCTGTCGTCGGGCAGTAACTGAGTTGAAGTCTCCCCTTCGCGATTTCATCCTTGACGAAGAAGTACCGCAGGGCGATGTGCTTAGTTCGGTTGGCGAAGCCGTCCTTGTTCGCGATTTTGATCGCAGATTGGTTATCGCAGAGGAGTGAGAAGGCGGGCAGGGTCGCGATCTTCGCTTCCTCGAGTAACTCCCGTAGGTAGAGTCCTTCCTTGGTCGCAGTACAAAGGGCGATATACTCTGCTTCAGCCGAGGATAGCGCGATTAACTCCTGCTTGCTCGACTGCCAGGAGATAGTTCCGATGGGTTCTAGTCGGTAGATGTAGCCCGTCCTAGATCGTCGATTTTCCCTATTTCCCGCGTGGTCGGCGTCGACGTATCCGAGTAGTCGTACGGACGGTGTTGTCGCTTTGCTGTAGGTAAGCCTGATCGTCGACGTGGAGACGAAGTAGAGTAGTGCTCGGTTGAGCTCCTCGAGATCTTCCTGTTCCGGTTGCTTCAGATGCGTCGCCAGTTGACTCGCACTATAGGACAGGTCGGGTCGGCAGGTTACTGCTGCGAATAGTAGGCAGCCGAGCTTCTGTTGATACTCCTGGATTTGTTTCGCGGGGAGTTTTGCGGAGGTGCTGTTGTTGTTCCCGTAGTGGTAGGGAGTTGGGACAGTAGCCGGTGTTAGACCGAATTTCTTCGCGACGGTGCCTGAGTACTTTCCAGCGTGTAGGTAGAACGCCGTGTCGTTTTCGTCGACATTCAGTCCTAGGTACTGGGTCACTTCGTCGGACACCGTGAGTGTTAAGTCTTCTTTCAGCTCCCGTTCGAACCAGGTGGCGATGTCGGTAGTGGAGCCGATGTAGAGTTGGTCGTCGACGTAGACGATGAGTAGGATATACTCTCTTCCCTTCTACAGTCGGTACATTCCTTGGTCATGCGGCAGCTGTAGGAATCCGATTTTTGCGAGACGGCCGTGGAGATGCTGCTGCCAGAGCCGCGGGGCTTGTTTGATCCCGTATAGGGATTTTGTCAGTTGGCATACTTTCGTGGGGTCGTCGATGAATCCGTGGGGTTGTTCGACGAAAATCTCGGCGTCCACAGGTGCGTATAGGAACGCATTCGTGACGTCGATTTGGCGTAGTGGTAATGTCTTCGTGGCCGCGACGGCGAGTAGGATGCGTAATGAGGTGTGACGGGAGACTGGAGCGAAGGTTTCTGTGTAGTCGGTCCCTTATCGTTGATCGAAGCCTCGTACGACCCATCGAGCTTTGAATCGTTCGATGGAGCCGTCTGAGTTGGTCTTAATGCGGTACACCCATTTCCCCGAGAGGACGTTTTTCCCGTTGATGCTCGTTGCAGGTACTAGTTTCCATGTTTTCCGGTCTTGCAGAGCCTTTAATTGCTTTTCCATCGCTTCCTTCCATTTCGCCTTATATTCCCCCCCCAGAGCCTGCGACAGGGTCGAAGGCTCTCGCGGAGAAGGCGGCGGCGGATGCTGGACGGAGACCCAGAGGCATAGAATCTGCAGTCCCGTTGGTGTGTGTCGAGGGGAATTTTCATTCCCGGAATAAGCTGCTTCGTCACCGTCTTCTGGGTCAGGTAAGAAGTTGGGACCGATGCGTTCTGAAACATTTGTGTCGACTGGGTGGGGTGTAATGTAACCTTGGTCAGCGAAGTGGTAAAAGGTGTCGAGGTTGTTGCTATCGAGAGGATTGTCTTCGTCGAGTGGAACAGGTACGGAACAGAATGGGAGTGGTCCGGCAGTTTCCGAGGCTTCAGGTACGTCTTCTTCTGCCGCGTCAGCTTCGGCAGCACGGTCGGCGAAGGAACGAAGTCCGGAGAAGCCGTCGGTGGGGTCTTGTGTGTTGGCAATGTTGTCCAGGTAATGCTGCAGCGTCAGTCGCTCGTAGAAGATAACATCACGTGATGCCACGGTATTTTTGTCCTGTATGTCGAGAATTTTCCACGCGTGAAAGTGTTTGGCGATGCCGAGGTGTAGTCCCCACCGAGCTCGTTGTGTGAAGCGTCCTGCTCGGGCTGTGTGGGGTCTGTACTGTACCATGCAGCCGAAAACTCGGAGTAATTTTGTGCTGCCCCTTTTTCTTGTCCACAGCAGGTGCGGTGATGCGTTGTTGGGAAGCGATGACGAGGACAGCAGGTTGTGCAGGTGAACTGCATGTGTCATCGCGTCTGGCCACAGTGTGGTGGGCAGCCTCATCCCCAGAAGAAGTTTTCGCATCGTCGTCTGCAAGGTCCGGTTCATGCGTTCTGCGACCCCCTGCTGCTGGTGAGCATAGGGCAGAGACACCAGGCGTCTGATTCCTCTTTCCGCCAGATAGGTCCTGAAGCGTTGTGACTGGTATTCCAGTGCACCGTCTGACTGGAAGCTCTTGAGCTTGGTTCCTGATTCTCGTTCGGCGATGGGAAGCCATGTTGTGAAGGCGTCGAAAGCTTGATCGCGCGTCTTGAGATTGAAGTGCCAGACGTATCTGGTTGCTGCGTCGATGAACGTAATGACGTAGTTGAAGTCGGCTTCGGTGTCTTCTCGAGGCATGTTTAAAATATCGCTGTAGACTTTTTCCATCGGAGCGTATGTAGGTGCGCTTGGGTTGTGATGAGATGGAAACGGCTGATGGGGAAGATCTGCTTCGGGGCACGTGAAGCACCGTGCTCGCGGTCGTCGAAGTTCTTGGCCGCTTGTCGTTAGGAGGGCGTTGCGTTCTAATACCTCTGCTTGGATTGTTTGTAGTATTGTGCTGTTTGCAGGATGCCCGAGGCGTTGGTGCCAGATGTCGTCGGGAGCGCGATGACCCGGCGAGCGGTGGTATATGTCGGCGTTGGAGAAGAACGCGACGACTGTGGCGGGACTTCGACAAACTTCTCGTGTGATGGGCATAAGTTGGTCTACTTCGGGTGGCGGTCCTCGGATCGCCGTTGGTGGGACTCGGCTGAGTCCTGCTGCTGCTACTGCAGGTGATGGTTTGGTTGGGATACTCACGGGTACTTGTCTTTCTTGTCTGATGACTGCTAATGCTCGTGTTCTTTCTGCTGCAGGTATGGTGTTGGAGTGCCAGAAGCCGTCACTGTCGAATTCTGGATCAAGATCCGGCGGGTGTGTCCAGGCGGCGAATGATACGATGCCGTCGCTGTCGGCAGTACCGCGGTCGGGGACGAAGTCCAACACGAAGACGCCAGATTTCAGGAGGGCACGACCGATGAAGAGGCCACCCTTCCCGTGGTATAGCCGAAACTCGTTGAAGTAGGAGTCGCACTCCAGGTGAATCCCCTTGGCCATTAGTTGGCTTACGCTTAGTAGGTTGTATCCCAGGTTGTCGACAATGAGGACTTTGTTGAGCTGAAGTATGACGTTTGTCTCCATGGATTGTAACTGAACCACGCCTTGTCTGTTTGTCTTCAGATTTTCGTTGTTGGCGACGGTGATGACGACGTCGCGGTTGAGGCGTTTCTCCTGTTGCACGAATCGTCCCGAAGAGCACATGTGTTGCCCGCAGCAGCTGTCCAAGAACCAGGTGTTTCGCCCGGTGGGTTCGGCGTTGGCAACCGCAGCATATGTTGGATTGACTTGAAGGCCTTGTGAGCGCGGTGGCGGGAGCTCTTCTTCGTCTGGCGCGTAAGTGGGTGGTGATCCGGGTGCGCAGTTGTCGATGTGTACCATGCAATTGATAATATTTGGTGTCTGTTGTGCAGATGTTGAAGAGCGTCTTGGGGGACTTGCTTGAGTGGAAG